AAAAGTTACAGCCAAGATGGCAGGTTTAGGTTACCAACCAATTTAAAATACAGGGTCACTTTCCAGCTCTACTATAGACTGCTGGTCTGATTTTAAGGTGAATACACTATTTCTCTGCCTTAGTTTTCCATTTGTAATGACTCATCATGAGCCAGGAGTGGATGACTCAGAGGTTATGGACAGTACAGCTCCTATGGATTGAAATCAGAGCCAGCTTGATAGGTATCTGCGAGGTGTTTCCCAGAATATACAGGAGCCCTGAAGACTAGCAGTACATGTGCAGTGCAGTTCATGCAAGTTCATGCTATAATTTTCTTTTTGCCTGAGGCTGGCTTCAGCATCCGTATTGTTATAACCTTTAAACATCGGAAAAATGAAAATTACAGTACTTTTTCTGATTTGTTTAATCTGTGGCATTCTTCAGGCAATGAAATGAGCAACAGTTACAGTATTTGTATCTTGCATGGAACATGTACAGTGGGTCTTCTGGTGCAACTGTAGTACAGTGTACAGTGTATATAGTTGTAAAAATATGTCATTGACCTAGTTTGCAATAAGCTTTGTGGCATTCTAATGTACAAACTGGGTTCTTTTAAATTACTGTCTATCCTCATTACCTCTTGCTTTTGATTTTTGACATTCCCTCTGCCAACTCTGCAAATCCATAAGAATTTTAAATGTTGTGATTTAACTTGGGTATCTTTGTCTAAATAAAACAACCATAATCATCTAGGTATCACTATACTTCCTTCCTAAAAGTTCAAAAATGTAACTGAGAGATGAATATTCTGCAAAGACACAATTGCTCTATTTGCATAATAACTTATGACTCTCAGTATCTACCATGTGGTTCACGACTTCACAAATGCCAAAAAAAAGCAGGTAGTCTGAATTCCTTTTTTCATGCCCTCTCCCAATTAACACATATCAGTGAGAATATCTTCCTGAATATGGACTCTCCCTCTGAAGCAGTGACATGTTAAAGAAAGGTCGTGTCAGACTTACCGAGTGCCTCTAGTTTTAGTCCATTACTCCAAAATCTCTTATCATTAATTATCGTTTGCATTAAGTACAAGATTAAATAAAAAATAGTGTAGCCAGCAGGACTAGGGAAGTCATCCTCTCCCTGTACTTGGCACTGGTGAGACCACGCCTCAAGTACTGTGTTCAGTTTTGGGTTCCTCACTACAGGAAGGACGTTGAGTTGCTGAAGTGTGTCCAGAGAAAGGCAGTGAAGCTGGTGAAGGGCCTGGAGAACAAGTCTTACAAGGAGCAGCTGAGGGAACTGGGGTTGTTTAGCCTGGAGAAGAGGAGGCTGAGGGGAGATCTTATCACTGTCTACAACTACCTGAAAGGAGGGTGTAGCGAGGTGGCAGTCGGTCTCTTCTCCCAGGTAACAAGTAACAGAGTGAGAGGAAATGGCCTCAAGTTGCACCAGGGAGATGTAGATTGGATATTAGGAAAAACTTCTTCACCGAAAGAGTAGTCAAGCATTGGAAGGTGGAGTTTAGAGGTGGATTTGGTAGTGTTACATTTATGGTTGAACTCAATGATTTTTAAAGGTTTTTTCCCACCACTACAATTCTACAATTCTATTATTCTATTCTATGAAATGAAAAGTCATCCAAATATAAAAATAAAACAATTTTTGGAAACTAGATGTAAAATTAAATTTTGCAGCATGCGTCATCCCAACTAGCTATTTAATTAGGCTAATCTGAAACACATCTGTCCTTGCTTGTGGACTTATATATATGAATGGTACTAAACAGATAGGTAATTGGTCAAACATTTATTAAATTTACCTCTCAGATCCAAAGCCACAGCACAGCAATCTCCACAGTTAGCAGGAAAGTATGTTTTCTTTCTGCCCCACTGGGTGATAGATAGCAGACCCACAAGTACAACCACTCCTGCTGGGTTACAAAATGCTACTCTGTCATTATGGTCTTGGTGTCCAGGCTTCCCAGCAGGTCTATAAGAAAGTGCATCATGGTTAGTTATAGTTGTCCATAAAGCAAAACTAGTTTCTAAATAATTCAACTTTTAATATTAATTCTGCAGCTGAAACCATTTCCCAATATGAAACAACAAAAAACAAAGGTAGCATTAGCCTCTCATTGCATTAAGACTGGATTTAAGTTCTTTCTTACAATGATGCATTCCTGAGCTTCCACTAGCTGTGTGTGACCTCTAATCTCTCTAACACAAATAAAAGAAAGCTGCTTGCTTTGCGTAGTAGGAAAATACCCTACATACAGCAGCACTGCCATCTTCTGCTTGCTTGTTTTCATGCATGCAAGTACCAGGTTTATATTGCAAAGCAACAGGGAAGGTCCATTTTTCTACTAGTAGGTATCTGAGGCAATAACATCTTCTAATACTGAGAGACAATATGTCTGGAGTTCCACAGATGTGAAGGCTTTTCACACATGAACTTTGTCTAGGCATGGAAAAGGACTTCAGATATTTGTCCAGGATTTCTAATATATCATATCCCAGCCAGAGCAATAGCTCGAAAATCCCAGGCGAATGTGTACATTTGTGTACTTGTGCTGTCCACGAGGAATACATTATACCTGTTGAATATGATCTGTAGAGTCGATCTATACACAAATGTGCACATTTGAACAGCTCTAACGTACTCCTTGTGGTCTGCACGAGTACAGCAAGTCCAAAGCACGAATGATCCATGTGCATAGGGCTAATTCAGTGCAGTTGGAGTATATTTGGTCCTATGCAAGCATGTGTGTGCTCCATATGCAGTAGGTCCAAGAGGTCACAGATGTATCACATGTGCTCTTGATCTGAAGTTTCCTGGATGTGCTGTACATCAGCACATAGGCAAGACAGAAAGCTGGAAGCACTACTTCTGATATTTTCTTTAAAAAGGTGAAAATACGGTAAATTATGTTTTTCTGAACTGAAGTTGCCAGCAAAAGGCACATTGAACCTGTACAGCTCCAGGGCCACCCCACACATCAGGGAAGCAGCTCTGTATGTGTTTGCTGTATGGTCCTAGGCGATGCTTTGTTGGATGGAGCTTTCATCATAAACTTTAGTTATGAGTTTGATTATATCAGAAAAACTGAAAAGGGACAGAATTTTACTGTATGTCATCCTGTTGGAGGCAGAGAGTGACACTGGCAATCATGAGCCTTCCTCTTCCACACAATAATGTATGAAATTATTTCTGGCAAGTGAAGAAGTATTAATTGTTTTTTCTTCTTTGAATATTCATAGAATCACAGAATCATAGAATGGTTTGGGTTTTAAGGGACCTTTAAAGGTCATCCAGTCCAACCCCCCTGCAGTGAGCAGGGACACCTTTCACTGGATCAGGTTGCTCTGAGCCCTGTCCAGCCTGACCTTGAATGTTCCCAGGGATGGGGCATCTACCATCTCTCTGGGCAACCTGTGCCAGGGTTTCATCACCCTCAGTGTAAAAAATTTCCTCCGTATATCTAGTCTAAATCTCCCCTGTTTTAACTTAAAACCATTACCCCTTGTCCTATCACTACAGGCCCTATTAAAAAGTTTGCCCCCATCATTCTTATAGGCCCCTTTAAGAACTGAAAGGCCACAATAATGTCTCCCCAGAGCCTTCTCTTCTCCAGGCTGAACATCCCCAACTCTCTCAGCCTCTCTTCCTAGGAGAGGTGTTCCAGATCATTTTTGTGGCCTCCTCTGGACCTGCTCCAACAGGTCCATGTCTTTCCTGTGCTGAGCACCCCAGAGCCAGACGCAGCACTGCAGGGGGGTCTCACCAGAGCAGAGCAGAGGGGTAGAATCACCTCCCTGGACCTGCTGGCCATGCTTCTTTTGATGCAGCCCAGGATACAGTTGGCCTTCTGGGCTGTGAGTGTGCATTGCCAGTTCATGTCCAGCTTTTTATCCACCAGTACGCCCAAGTCCTTGTCCGCGGGGCATTATTGTAGTTAGATACTCCAGTCTGCTTTACTTTTGATAGACTGAGTTGCACTGATAGCTAATCATTCACCTTTCTCTGATAAATAACTGTGATAATACTGAAGCATGTAGAGGGGGGTCTGTCTTTATGAAAGCATGAGCCCAGAAACAAGGTGAGCAGGTGTATTGCCAGAATACAGAGTTAGAATCACAGCAACATGGTATTGGTTTATTGATTATCATTAGCTGGGAGAGGACAGTTTATGCTTCTGAGAATACTCATATGCATTACAATCCTTGATGCAGAGTCTCTTGTAGTCACTCATGTGACTGAACTCTCTCTGCTGTGCTGATGTGTTATGGACCCTGTAGACCAAACCTGATCCTGCTTAGTGATTCCGTGCTGGCACTAACATCACCACTAACTTGATGGAGCATTGCTGCAGCCCAGCTTGTTGCCATTACTGTTGCAACCCAGTGCAACCCAGCCATGTCCATCCCACAAATCGCTACATGCTGGGCTCAGAAATGCCAGAGGACAAGATGCTTTTGCTTCTGGCTTGGGATAAAGCTTTTAATTGTCTAGGACAGAGGTTTCTATTAGATTGTTCTTGAACCTGGAAAGCTTCCCAAACCTGAATCTATGTGAGTCGTGAAGGATGATCCAATTGCTCTTGGTTACTTGAATCCTTTCTTGGACACAGTCACAATCAATATACAGAGGACAAACGCTTCTGTCCAAAGCAACAAAATATGTAATGATGGGTAAGGCGCATAATAGTGAATGTAAATTATGATTGCCTAAAATAGATTTCCCCTTCCCACAGAAGCACAAAGTTTCATTATTCTCATTCTTCTCTCTCTTGGACCCATATTTATTGTTAAGAACAAATTAAGAACTAAGACATTAGCAGGTGCTGAAGAACAGCCTCTGTCACTTACTAGCCCAAATCTCTGGGAGGTATAAAGGTAAAAGAAGGTATTGTAAAACCATTTGGTTGGTGAGATCTCAGTTCACACTCAGTTAACTGGTGTGTTTTGCAGGATTTAACCTGGTGGCATAAGAACCTTGAAATAAATCTCTTAGCTACGATTAGAGATGAAAGAGAGATTAGCATGGGCAGAAGAGTCGAAGTCTTTTTCTCCATCCCCATTGGTGAGCCAATGTAAAGACAGAAGCATTACACAGACATCAGGAAATCAGTGCCTCAGTCTTCCTCAGGATGCTTGATCCAAGAATTTTCTCCCTTGTACTTATCAAGTTACCAGTTTTGAGACCCTGTTCAGTCCTCTGAAGCAGGTTAGTGGTTTTTTTTACACTAAGACACAGATAGGAATGTGTGTTTAGCTAAAATGGCAGATTTTAGTGTAATTGGTAAGATAAGATGTGGTTTGTTTCTAACAAAATTGCAAGCTAAATTTATATGGATAATTTGCATCTAATAAGTAAATGTTACAAACAAATAAATAGCTGTGCTATGTCTTGTTCTATGTAGTCAGGGAAATTTGATAGCAAAGGAACAGGTAGGGGGCAACTTGGAAGCAAAAAGCTACCATATGCCGATGGAAGCTGTGCTTGACGTGGAAGCTGTGTTCTCAAGGAAAGCTTGAGAACAGTATCAATACTATGGGAGAGATTGCTACATTTATTGGTCTTCTTCTGTTGAAAGAAACATTTCTGCTTTTATAGAATAAAATCCAGCTTGCTCTCCCATAGCTGGGGAAAAATTGTCTCTGTGTGAATGCTTCATAACTCTGGAGTGGCTCATATGCAATGTTGAGGTGAGTTTCTAAGAACTTAGATAGAGGTGTTAGTTCCACTGAACTACTAGGAGCATTTGTGGTTTTACAGCAGCTCACTGCCAAATATAATTTGGAGAATGGATGCATATTGCAGAGCAAGACAATGACATTTCTAGCTCATAACTGCATTTAGTTCTTTCAGCTCGAAGAACTTTCTTCATGGTGCTCAAAAAATGCTACTACGTGGCAGTATGCATGTTGCAATGCATCTTATGCTAATAAATATATTCAATACTACATTAAATAGGAAAATAATAATGTTATGGTGTGTTTACAAAATTCATTATGATGGGAAGAGAGTCTTTTAATTATCTAAAATAAATTCAGAAAACTGTTATCATAGGAAAAAATAATCTCAAGAAAAATATCCATGTAGAAATTTGGCACACAGGAACAGAGCAAATAAGTTGTTCTTCTGTAACAGACTTGATGCACTCAAAAGTTTCATGAGAAGCACAGTTGTCCTAAAGATCTTTTGTGCCATCCCAGGTATATCAGTGACAGCCAGTGTCAGTCAACAAGTGGTCACTGCACTGCAACAACCAGTCGTTCCCCACCTTTCCTCTGGCAGCATGGCTCATATGAAAGAGCAGATCTCATACTGCTGGAGGACTGTGGCATGGGTATCTCTGTTAGATTAATGTGAATGTTCCATGAAATCTAGTCTTTTAACAACGCTAAAATTGCACCAAGGAAGCTGGAAATTGCATATGAGAATCACTGGAGGCAAGGACTTACTAGGAGAGCTGCTCCTGCACATAGATTTTTCATTTTTTTAACTTTAGGCATCTAAAAATGGAGAAGGGAGCTATAGCAGAACAGCTACACAAGACTGAGTGTATCTCTGCTTATGGAATTCAGCTTCAAATTTCTTTGTGGCTAGACTATGGCAGAAAGTCTCAAATTTACATCTTCCAAAATAAGCAACACCTCTTAAGTAGATGAATTTTAAGTAAAGGTAGAACTGTTTACAACTTTTGTTCAAATGTTAAAGCAAAAGATGTTTGGCAGGTAGAGTGTTCTCAGTGACAGCATAACTATATGTCTGCCTAACAATTTAGAGGCATTTTGCAAATACAGACATGTATTTCATAGAAAACAACAGTGAGCAATGCCTTCATATATGTTGGCCTTCGAATGTGAACTGTGTATCAGTAGCTAGGAAATTTCACAAGACATTCACTCTGTTGTGAGCTCTGAGATCTGAGAATTGGGGGCAAATAAACCTATTTGTCATAGCCCTCTACAGCTATTTAAGTTCAAGTCACGAACTGCTTAACTGGTGAAGCAATCAAACATACTAGCTCTGGGTTTAGCAGGCAGGCTGTCAGCTGAATTCGTTTGGAGGCTTAATTCCGTGCCAGCAGAACATGATCCTTTTAAATGAGGTCTGAAGGATAATGAAGAATAATGGTGTGAAGAAAATGTTGTTGCTTTACAAATGACTGTTCTCTGAACTCGTTTGTACAGAGGTGTCTATCAATAATCATGATAATTGATCTGATTATCACAATATGATCACAATCAATATTCAACCATAACTGATAATCAGCCTTAACAATCATTACAATTAGGGACCTGTTTTTAAAGTGAGAGAGCTGCTCACCTCAACACCTTTGGAAATAAGACTGGTAAGGAAAAATACTGTGCATTTGGCACATTATTCTGTGTACAAAAGATATACAGAAATTAATAGTTTTGAGAGGAATTAGTTTCCTCTGTAAGTGCAGGAGAAAATAAATGCAATGTGAATGAATTAGATCTCACAGGCATTAAAATGTTTTAATATTCAAACGCATTAAGATATCTAACCATATGGTTAGATATCTTAATGCGTTTGAATATTAAATGAATGGAACAACCTATTTGCCTGTAGAAATAGAACTGATTCCTTCTGACATACACGGATGAAGACGCTGGGATACCGTTACCTTTTTAAATTGTACTCTACAACAATCGGCTTGCCCAGTGTTAAGCTTCATTGCAGCCGTGGATTCTTTAGTGGGTAGGTGTAGCCCTGCTTCTGTACAGCTTGCCTGAAGGTGGTTTTCATGCTGTTTTAGCTGATACCAGTGTTATTCAGATGAAGTTAAGTAGTAGAGTCCACTAGCTTAAAAAATATTGTACAAGAATAATGCTTCTTATACTTCTCTGTTTCCCCAAATTTACAGGATAATGTTTTAGTGTTTATAAATGCCATTATATATTAGTGGAACTAGATGACTGTATAATCATATCAATACATAGTCATGTAGTATAAAATCACACTAATGAAAACTACTGAATTAGTACAAGACCATGCTGAGAGTAGGTTTTCTGAGGAGGAAAGAAATAAGAGCTCTATATATCTTGCATATGTTGAGGAAAGGCAAGCACAGAGCATCAGCAGCACTGAAGAAGGGTAAAAATTAATGGTTGGATCCTGAGGTACTGCAGCGTAGTTCTACATCCACATCACGTACACCAAAACCACATTGTCTCCAGCTCTAACAGGTTTTAGATCTTGGATGTTATTAGCTACTTTCTGCCTGTGATTGTGATATAACTGGAGAGGTGCAAAGGAGAAGTTAGTAGCAGTGTTGCAGAGAACCAAGGTGAAAAGTGCTGGGAAAGATGGTATTTTCTTGGATCCACCAATAGCTGGGGAAAAGGAGACAGACCTTGAAACACAGAAGTCCTCCTTCAGCTGTGAGACTGAAATATTAGATTTGAAACTCCGGGAAGGGAGGAGTCTCTCTGCATATATTTTATGCCCATCATTGTGATCTTTGGAGAGAAAAATAAAAAAAGTCTGTAGATCACATGGGAAACGTTATTAAAGGACTGTTAATAACACAAAAACAAGCTAGTAAAATATACAAGATACAAATTACTAAATACATGAGTAGTTTCCTGTCATTTTTCAAATGGTTCACTTTCAACAAAGTGTTATTGATAGTTTAACTATTTGTTGAACTTCTTGTGTGTGTGGATAACCACAGTCAGTTTCCCCTTCAGTTTTTGCCAGAGTGATCATATCTTTTTACAAATTCCTAAAATCATCAAGAGAATATGGGCAATGAGTACAAGGGAAGGGCACCATGAGTCTCCTGGAGGGAAAGACAGCAGATCAGCTTACTTCTAGACATCAGAAAATCTGCACAGAAAATTGCTCTCAAGACGAAAATCCTTAGGAATCCATAGGTCATTGATTCTACTGTTGACTTGTTTTTAATAGCTCTAGTAGGTCCTTAGAATTATTTTCTTAAGCTAGTTGTATTGTATAAAATTTAAGCAATAAATTTCACTGGGGCACTCCCTTGGCAAATCTCAAGAGTGCCAAGAGTGAGGCTGTACAGGAGGTTTTCTGCAGTCTCTATAAATACCCAGTCAAACAGACAGTAATCTCTCTCTCTCTTTTTCAGATGTCTACTGCATGCCTTGGATACATGCTCCTAATCAGCTTACGAGCTTTCCTTGACCTACGCTTCTCTTCCTAATGCTGATTTGACTATGGCTGTCCTCAAAGTAAAATTCAACAAAACCAAGAGAGACAAATTGGCTCAGATCTTATGGATCCTCAACTGGATTTCTGTAGTGAGTGGGATCATTCTCTTCAGTCTTGGCCTCTTTCTGAAAATAGAGATCAAGAAGCGTAATGAAGTGATGGCAAAAGGGGACATTAACTCTGTCCCCAACATGCTGATCTCTGTAGGAGTCATAGCATGTATCATCAACTTTCTGGGTGGCAAAATCTGCTATGACTGCTCAGACGCCAATAAGTTCTCTCGATGGAAACTAGTTATGCTCCCATACATCGTATGTACCTTCTGTTTTACCTTCTGCATCCTGGTGGGTGCTCTCATGTGCTATACCATGAGGAATGAGCTGGAAGAGTCTCTCTATTTGGGACTGAGGGATGCTATTAAGTTCTATAAGGACACGGACATACCTGGACGATGTTTCTTAAAGAGAACAGTGGATATGTTACAAATTGGATTCCAATGCTGTGGAAACAATGGCTTTAGAGACTGGTTTGAAATTCAGTGGGTATCTGCTCGTTATCTCAATATGGCTTCCAAGGAAGTTCTAGAGTAAGTATTTACTAGTCATAACAAAAAATTAGAGGAGAAAAACTCATTCAAGAAGGCAAAGTGGATAATAGTTTTTCTATTTATCTCTTTGTCTCTTAATTGAAAAACTATACAACAACCACGTTACTCACAAAACACGCTAACTATATGCACAATCAAAAGTCACTTTTTGCTAAATTTTTAGGGATGCTAAGCAAAGGAAATCAAATATGTGAATTAGCTACATCCAAATTTCAATTCTAGTCAGCTGCTAATAGAAAGGAAAAAGGATTGTACTATCAGTACATTGGACAGTCAGTCCTACACACTGAAAGACCTTTCTCCTTCAAGACTTCGCAAACTCAGGTTCAAACTTTTATGTTCACATGTGAGAAACTGCCAATACCATGTACACTGCATAAAAAAGGAGGAGAAAAACCTCTGAAATTTGTTTTGGTTTTGTTTGTTTTGGATTTTTTTTTTAATTGGTGGTGCTTCACACAGTGTAGCAATTGTGAAATTATATGCTCAAAAGAAGAGTCTGGTCATTCTTACAGACAACAGAAAAGATAACAATGAAAAATTTTAAAAAGTAGACAATCCAATATGTAATAATTTTTCTAAAGCTGAAAAAGAGTCTTAACTGATGAGAGTGAAGTAGGTACATATTCCTGGGGAAGACAAATACAAAAGCTTGACTGGCATTTGTCAAATGATTTGTTTTCACAAAATCACAGAATGGAGGGGGTTGGAAGGGACCTCTGGAGATCATCTAGTCCAACCCCCCTGCCAAGGCAGGTTCACCTACAGCAGGTTGCACAGAGCTGCATCCAGGCAGGTTTGGAACATCTCCAGAGAAGGAGACTCCACAACCTCTCTGGGCAGCCTGTCCCAGGGCTCTGGCACCCTCACAGTAAAGAAGTTTTTCCTCATGTTTAAGCGGAACCTCCTGTGTTCCAGCTTTTGCCCATTGCCCCTTGTCCTATCTCTGGCCACCACTGAAAAGAGTCTGGCCTCATCCTCTGGACACCTACCCCTTAGAAATTTATAAACATCCTTGCTGATAAATTGAGGAAGTGTG